GCTGCCAACTCAGGCAGTGTGCAGGTACGTAATTTGGGTCGGCGCAAGCCAGTTGCGCCTGGTGCCATATCTTGTCTTAGGTTTGATTCTGGTCCTCATGTTCCCTCCCTCTTTTCTGGCACTCATTTTCATTCATTTGCCTCCGGTGTCCTGCTTGACTTAATTACGCCTTCGGAGACCGTACGGTCGCATGATTGTAACTTGTCGGCCCTAGACCTCAACTCGCTGCGCTGGCAACGACTAGCTGATGGGCAAGAGATCTTCCGGCCCGGCCATCGATGGCACTACTGCACTGTCAATGATACAGGGACCACAGCTTGGCTCTTGGGATGTAGCCTTGATGTCGCAAATGTACCGGGTGGTAGTGACGAAAATCATATGAGTGAAGTCCTGACTATCGACCTGGAGAAGTATGGTTTACTAGGTAACGGTCTGTCGGCAGAACCTCTAGAACAAGGTGCACCGTGGTCATCTGATCAAATGGGCCCGTCTCAGGTGTCCGGGCTTGGAACCGATCTAGCCGCTGTTTTTGACCAACCCCCTGAGTCTGGAAGTGATACGGACTTTGTCATCACCGCAATCCGTGACGATCATGACGGATCCGTATCGGGGAACATGGGGGATACGCCGTCCGTCTCCCCAACCCAGGCTCGGCCGACCTTTGTGGAACAGAACCCCTGGACCTCAGGGCCAATCCATGTCCACCGTATCATTCTGCAGCTTAGGTGGCCACATTTCAGGCGCTTGTACTCCGCCCAGATGGCGGAGTACCACACTAAGCGGATGCACATCCCCGAGCCTTATTCCGTTGTGCGTGCGTTTCTCTATTACCTGTACACAGACAGTATCACCGGCCACCCAGACTCTTGCTCGAGCGCTATCGATGTGGCGGGTATGCTTGTTATGGCCAATCTTTATGACATGCCGAAGCTTCGCCTGCTGTGCGTCAATAGGCTAAGCCAAGAGCTTGATGTAGACAACGCGGCGATCGTCTGGGAGCGTGCCGGACGGACCAATGAACATTGGTTGAAGCGCCGAGCTGGACAGTTTTGCCTGACATACTGGGGTCGCGTGGTCCGAACAGACGGTTTCAAATCCCTCAGCCACCAGAGTCTGATCCAGCTCTGCGAGGTGGTGGATACGGAAGGTCGCATCTTCGCAGGACCTGAATTGGAGATGGTCACATTCGGAGCCGATTGCCTTGACCGAGACAAAAGCTCTCGACTATTGGGATCTAGTACAGATGAGATGTCCGAGGTTGATGGGGATGAAGGGATGGAGATGTCATGACACGAATGGGGCACGCATTATGATCCGGAGTTCTTGGCGAGGATTTTATTATTTATTTGCACATTTTTGTAACACATTGGGAATGTACAGATTCTTTTAGAGATCGGCCCGTCTAACCGGGCCATATGAGCCCATTCGTCGCCAGCCGAGGTGGAGCCTTTCGACGTTCTTGACGCGGACACAACTCCGGATCGCGGAGGTCATTCCTGTCACGATAAGGAATCTCTTCACTGTTGTCTCACACTGTGGGGGTTTCAACAAAAATATTAAAAAATGTCGAAAGTATTTAAATATCTATCGGTGCTCGAATTCGAAGTTTGGTTGATATCCGGCTTCTACAGCTATTCCTTTGACACTTGATTTCACCATGGGATCTACCGAGCAATCCACTCTTCCTGCAGATTTCCTCTGGGGCTTCGCAACGGCCGCATACCAGATTGAGGGAGGTGCCAATGAAGATGGTCGTGCCCCGTCAATTTGGGATACATTTTGCAAGATTCCTGGCAAGATTGCGGGCGCGGGAACTGGAGATGTAGCTTGCGACTCTTATCACCGGACACACGAGGATATCGCATTGTTGAAAGAATGCGGTGCTCAGGCATACCGATTCTCCCTGTCATGGTTCGTGTTTCTGTGTTGTTTTGAAGCTTCGATTTTGAAGTTGCTAACCTTGGCATACCGAAACGTATAGGTCACGCATTATCCCTCTCGGCGGTCGGAACGATCCAATCAACAAGAAAGGCCTACAGTTCTACCAGAAGTTCGTGGATGACCTGATTGAGGCAGGCATTACTCCCATGATCACCCTCTTCCACTGGGATCTGCCCGAGGAGCTCCACAAGCGCTATGGTGGACCTCTCAACAAGGAGGAATTCGTTGCTGATTTCGCGCACTATGCCCGCGTGGTGTTCGAGGCCTTTGGATCCAAGGTCAAGTACTGGATTACTTTCAACGAGCCTTGGTGCATCAGTGTTCTTGGATACAACAATGGTTCCTTCGCCCCGGGCCACACAAGTGATCGCACCAAGAGCCCGGTGGGAGATAGCTCGACTGAGCCGTGGATTGTCAGCCACAGCTTGCTAGTCGCCCACGGAGCTGCCGTGAAGATCTACCGCGAGGAATTCAAAGAACGGGACGGTGGTGAGATTGGTATTACGCTGAACGGTATGTTCTATTTTGCCCCACGCGCAGGCAAAGCCTTTGCTAAACAAATTATCAAATAGGTGACTGGGCCGAGCCCTGGGATGCTGAAAACCCAGCCGACGTGGAAGCCTGTGATCGCAAGATCGAGTTCGCCATCTCATGGTTCGCTGACCCGATCTATCATGGCAAATACCCGGACAGTATGATCAAGCAACTTGGCGACCGCTTGCCAACCTGGTCACCGGAGGATATTGCCCTTGTCAAGGGCAGCAATGACTTCTACGGTATGAACCACTACTGTGCGAACTTCATCCGTGCCAAGACCGGAGAGGCAGATATCAATGACATCGCGGGTAACCTGGAGCTCTTGCTCGAAGACAAGAACGGCGTCAGTGTTGGACCTCTCACACAATCGCCTTGGTTGCGACCATCTGCTATTGGATTCCGGAAACTGCTCAAATGGCTCAGTGAGCGTTATGGATATCCCAAGATCTATGTCACCGAGAACGGTACTAGTGTCCTGGGCGAGAACGATATGCCCCTTGAGGAGTTGCTCAACGATGAGTTCAGAGTGCAGTATTTCCGGGATTACATTGGTGCTTTAGCAGATGCATATACCCACGACGGTGTCAACGTGCGGGCTTACATGGCTTGGAGTCTTATGGAGTATGTTTGGACCTTGGCCCCGCGTTAATTCTGATATAACATTTGACTAACTTCTTTACAGCAACTTCGAATGGGCTGAGGGCTACGAGACCCGCTTTGGTGTCACTTTTGTCGACTATGAGAACGACCAGAAGAGAATTCCAAAGAAGAGTGCCAAGGAGATTAGCCAAATCTTCGATCGTTTGATTGAGAAGGCATGAGATGGATGCTGTTCCGATTGATGTTTATGCCGGTGGAATCCGGCGACTATTATGATACCTGGACTCTGTACGAAGTTTTCGAATGCACATGATGTTTTATTTTTCTAGTCACGCCATGAGACGTGTAATCCAAACATATGTGGGGGTTGTGAAAGATGAAAAGATTCATGCATGAAGGGAATATGGATATCGAGGTGAGAGCTCATGTGAGAAGAGCGTTATAGTCTACAAAAAGTCTTGAAGTATGACATCGGCATTCGTATGGCGCACCCCTCTTCTCTTTGCTTCCATCAATCGTTATGCTACTTGGCCATCTTAGAAATGGCATATTTGCCTGCATTTGATTCACACTGGTTCTAAGTCCGGTCATTCCTGTTTGACCATGCAGCTCTTATAACTCCCATATACCCTTCATTCTCTCGGGTAGAGATAATGAACTTTCAACTACTCTATATGGAGTGGAAGTTAGATCACAGTGTGAATTCTGATACCCGGGAGTTAGTAAATCCGCCCCCGAATGAGGTATCTTCTCCATTTCTCTAGAGCTCCGATATATTTATTTGAATTACTTTGTCAAGAAGACTATGGATGTATCCCAAATCTCCAAGCGGCTTTTGCCGGAGCCCAAGAGATTCCCAGACTGCTGTCTGGCTATCTCCAGCACTTTGATCACCTACCTTGCTTCGCTTCTCCCCCAAAAGCCGGAATTCACCATCTCAGTTGGTAGTGGATCTGGTCTCCTTGAAGGTCTCATCGTACACTACGACCAAAATGTGTCCATTGAGGGCGTTGAAGTGGATTCAACTATTAATCGGTACATTGCCGAAGAAGATATGAATGTCGTTGGCGGAGGCTGGGGCCTTTGGCCTGCAGCCCAACAGGCTGCAGTGTGGATGTTTGTCTACCCACGCGATCCAAAACTCATCACCAAATACATTGATACCTATGGGGACCAGCATGTCGATTTCATTGTCTGGCTTGGGCCTCGGGTCGATTGGCCTGATTATGAGCCGCGTTTCTGTCAATCTCCATTCTCCGAGTTGACTTTTCCAGATCATATCGGACTAACACCGTATGAGACTGTGGTTGTTGCTAAAAGAACGGTTTAATATGAAGCCTTTCTGCATCGTGACGGAAGATTATGCTACGCACATGGTGTATTTGAGGATCTTTCTTGATAGAATCTGACTGTATGAATAGACGGCTTCTATAGCCTTGTGATATCTTTCTTACTGGGCGTTTTAGCAGTCTATCTATTTAGTAGTCTTTTTAATAAGAAACGTATACTTTATAAAAGAGCCTCTTCAATTTACAACCTCTGATGTATATCTAATGTTAAAAGATCTATATTGATATTGTCACAATATCTCAACCTCTGTGGGTCGGTTTTTATTTAAACTTGAGATAAATACTTACATAGCTATTCCCATCTAAGTCCTGGAAACCCGGAGGCTAGATAATAATTAGGAGGTCAGAATACAGCGATCACGAGATACGAGTGGAACCCTACACGGCATCTCCTACGGTAGCTACCTAGTGAAATAAGGAGCAGGGGAGGAGCCTTTAGGAGAAGCCGCTTTCAAAAGACGCTACCTCTTGGATATCACGTTTGTTGCCGTCAATAAAGAGGTTCTTCGAGAATTAGGAAACAACAGCTTCGTATAGTAATTCATATATTAAAGCCAAATTATGAGACTAAGCTCAAAGCGCATACCTAAAATGCTTGGACTCCATATCGGTCAGATCACTGAAGCCATCCAAGATAGCCTGAGAGACAACATCCTCCGGGGTCTCATTAGTATTAGCTGCAGCCATTGCGGCATCTCTCCTCGAATTCTCCCATTTCATTGACGCATATCCCGCACATGCCAGAACAATGATACCCGCATAGCAAATGAGCAGGCCGAGCAGACCCGAGTAATAGCGCGGGGACTCGTTAGCGAAGAAGATATTCGCCCCGGCAACATTGCCGGCTGCATAGAGCGAGAACCAGAGGCCATTCGCGACCGCACGCTTGGTGTGACCGGCAACATTGGTGGCAAGTAGATTCCACGAAATAATGACGGGAGCACCGACAAGATACTGCAGCCAGGTGCAACCAACTAAAGTCCACGGGTGGTCGAGACTGGTGAAGCGGATACCCAGAAGACCGCCAAAGGGAATCAAACATACCACTGCGAGGACGATGCAGCGGGAATCCTTCACGTAGGTAGCAATAATACCACAGATTGGAACAACCACCGCTTCGACCGCACCTGTAGGCAGCTGGAGGAGTGTAGTGTAGATCTCGCTGAAGCCAAAGCCTTTGATCAAGGCTGATGAGAAATTCGATGAACCGCCGTTGATCACACCGCAGGCGATGCCGACTCCCGCGCAGCAGAGGACTCTGATATCGTAGAGAATCTCCAGTGCCTGGCGTGGTTTGATATCTTTGGTCTTCACTCCAATCATGTTTTCGGCGACACGCTGCACCGCGATCACGCGCTGTCGATGGGTCAAGAAGCGCGCAGAGCTGGGCGAGTCGGGCATCAGCCAGAGGAACAGACAGGCGCAAAGGAAGTTGAGTAGTCCGATGGTTAAGAAAATTAACTGCCAACTGCGGAGCGCGGTGTTATGTGAATGGCCGAGACCGAATCCTAGTAGTGCTCCTACCATGGTGGCCATACCATTTGCGCTAAGCCAGACAGCCATACGCAACGGTTGTTCGGATCGCTTGTAGAACATCGATGTCAGGTTCATCACTAGATAGAAAAAGAATGAATTAGTGTTCTTCTTGTCTTTTTAGGGTTGATCTGGAAATCTCACTGCATGGACTGACTCCAGCTTCTGCCATGCCCAAGAGGAATCTCAATACCAGCATTCCTGGGTAATTCTTTGCTCCAACATGTGCAATAACGAGTACACTCCAGATTAAAAGCATACCACCCATATATTTGGCGATTGGCAATCGTTGGATGAGGAGATTGGCTGGCAGGGCCCAGAAGAGATAACCGAAATTGAAAATCGCGGCAACCCATGAGTATCGTTGACCTTCAAGACCGAGGTCTGGGATTAAGGAATATGCCGATGCATAGTTCAGTGATAGTTTGTCTAGAACATATGAGTATTGAGTGATGGGGAAATACTTTGAATTTGCATACCGAGGAATTGAATCACATAGGTCATATAGAGCTATAACATGTCAGTAACAACACTCCCGATATCACCATCACCTTGGAACTGACCATAGGCATAATCCTCCAGTCAATAATCCTCAGCACCTCGGCGCCCTCAGTCTCGAGTTCCTCGGCAGTTAACTGCTCTGCTTCCAGATATAGATTGGCTGCGATATCATGAGTCTCGCCGAGTGCAACATGTGTGACATCTTTCTCGGTAGCGGACTGATCCACTTTGATGTTGTCCATTATAGGCCGTCAAGTTGGGAATGAAGTCCATATCGAAGTCCAGATAGTCATATATATAAAGCTATCCTATCAACGCCAAGAAGATAAGCATCATTCCGTTTATCTGAAGTGATGTCTTTGGTCAAAAGGCTGGAGATAGGCGGCCAAAAGTCCGAAAAGTGTGGGGGCGGACTATTGTCCGATGTTCCCCATCTATACGTCCGGAGTATACAGAGAGCATACTATATCTCACTTTCATCAGTTTATATTCGGACTCTCTGACTACATTTACTTCTTACATTCATTTCAGGGATGACTCAGTCAGACTTCTCGCTCTTAGACGCGAGTATCTCCGACCTCCAATGTGCGCTTTCTACAGGATCGCTCTCTAGTGTCGGCTTAGTATCACGGTACCTACGGCGAATCAGCGTCTACGACTCCAACACTCTCAAACTCACCGCCATCCCAGTCCTCAATCCATTCGCCCTCGACGAAGCAGCCGCCTCCGATGCCCGGCGGGCAGCCGGTTTGTCGCCGCGTCCATTGGAGGGTATCCCTTACCTGGCAAAAGACAGTATCAAAGTCAAGGGCATGACCGTCGCGAACGGATCACCTGCATTCGAGACCCTCATTGCTAACGAGGATGCTGCATGTATCCAACTACTCCGTGAAGCCGGCGCCGTGCTTCTCGGCCGGACGAACATGCCCGCCATGGCGTACGGTGGTATGCAACGTGGGTGTTATGGGCGCGCTGAAAGTCCATATAATCCTGCATATCTAGCTGCGGCGTATGCTTCCGGCTCATCAAATGGATCGGCGGTCGCCACAGCGGCCAATTTTTGTGCTTTTTCTCTAGGCAGCGAGACTGTTTCTTCGGGTCGCTCGCCCGCGTCAAATAATGCCATTGTTGCCTACACGCCTTCAAAGGGCCTTCTTCCTCTCCGTGGTGTCTGGCCACTCTACTTGACCTGTGATGTTCTTGTCCCTCATACTAGGACTATGACAGATCTGTTCCAGGTCCTAGATGTTCTTGCTGTGTCGGATGATGCCCCGAGAGGAGATTTCTACCAAGAGCAAAAGCTTATCTCCCTCCCTTCAATCAGTACACTTCGACCGCACTCTTTTGCTGAATTACAAGATGGAACTTCCTTGCACGGAAAGCGCATTGGGATACCGTCAATGTACATTGGAGGCGATGACTCTTCTCTATCCCCAGCCAGCAGGGTCAACACCCGGCCCTCTATAATCAAGCTATGGAACAACGCCAGAAAGGTCCTTGAGTCCTGCGGTGCGGAGGTAATAGAAACAGACTTTCCACTCGTGACAACCTACGAGTCAAACGCAGAAAAGGGCCAGCTAGTCACCGTCGCCGGGCTACCAGAGGGTTGGTCCGCATTGGAGAGGAGTGAGCTCGTTGCGCATATCTGGGATGACTTCCTGATCAACAACGGACAAAAGAACCTGGAGACTCTTTCTCAGGTTGACCCGACGACTATATTCCCGCTTGCACCGGGGTCTCTGAAAGGTACGCCTGATGCAGCTAATGCGCTGCGATGGGACGAGATGGTCAAATACCCGCACCAGCGATCGGTATCTATTTATGAGATCCCCGGTATTCAACAAGGAATTCAGGCTCTCGAGAATGCGCGCAAGGAGACTTTTGAGGACTGGATGGATGGGCTTGGGCTTGATGCTGTGGTTTTCCCGGCCAATGCTGATGTTGGCGCTGCTGATGCGGAGTGTGATGAAACGGCGTCGCGGTTTGCGTGGAGCAATGGCGTCAAGTACTCCAATGGCAACAGACCTATCCGTCATCTTGGTGTACCCACTATCTCTGTCCCGATGGGTGTCATGGAAGATACGAGAATGCCGGTGAATCTAACCTTTGCCGGAAAGGCATATGATGATAACAACCTGCTTAAGTACGGCTTTACATTTGAGATGGCGATGAAGGGCCGTGTTCAGCCATCGCTTGTGCCCGCTCTTGACTCTGATTTCATCAAGGGTGCCCAAGGTCCCCGGCCATGGGATTCTCCGTCTACCGTTGACTTGGTGGTCGAGACTCAAGTAAAGAAGATTCACGACTCGGTGGTTATAATTCAGGTCCAGGGATCAGTCTCTCCCAAGGACTCCCAGCTGGAGGCTCTGGAATGCCATGTTAACGGTCAGGTGGTCAAGCCGGTCATAGAGGGCGATAGGTGGTTTATCCAGGCTTCCTATCCCGTATCGGAACGCGATCAACCCTGGAAGAGGTGGGCGAGTCCTGCTTTAACACAGACGATCGTAGTTATCACAGCTCATACAAAATCGGGCTCGACAGCTGGTAGGTTGATCTCTTTATGAAGACCTAGCATCGCCAAATTCGATGCAACTCTTCTTTTTACTACTCGATTATGTAGCGCATTCATAAAATACAAAGCTTTCATATTTACACGATCTCTTTCAAGTCTTCATCTAACAAGTCCTGATGCATACTCCCCCCATACATCATATCCTCAATCATTCCCGAGACAGCTCGGTGCAAATAATTCTTCCTCAGCTGTTCCAAGTGCAATTCAGCCTCCTCTAGTGATAACGGAGCACTGGAATGAGGTTCAAGTGTGCCGGCATTCCACATAATCTTCTGTCGTATGAACTCGAGCACATTCATATATGGCATTGCGTCCTTCCACCTGTCGACAAAGCCAGCCAGATTGGCTGCGCATGTGGCAATTGCCTCTCTGATGCGCTGCTGGTTCCGAATATCGGAGACAGGAGCGGTCGCCCAGACAATGTATAACATCATGATTCCCGCGCGGAATTGAAATACAAGCTAATGATGGGGGTTATCGTTAGTTCATTTCGAGAGTAACACAATAGAAGAAGGGCCCTTGACACATACTGCAGACCAGGTATAGCACATTACATGCCCTTCCTCCTGCAAGAGCCGAAAATTCAGACAGGCTTCCCCAATTGTCGCGAGAATTTCCTCCGTCCCATCAATCTCGAGGAAATCACGTTTCTCTTCTATCAAAATCAAGAGACTGTAAACATATAGCTTTCGCATCCATATAGGATGGAGATAGCCGTGCTGAGCATTGTCTGATTCATAATTTGGAATCTCTTGCCGCCACCTATCGAGAGCGGACTTGAATGAGGAGCTGTAGCCTTTCACATCTCTGGCGAGAGGATTGCGGGACCGGTTCTCCCGCGACCTTCTGATGCTGGCTTGGATTTTGCGTAGTCGGAATAAGTGGCTGATGGCGGGGTTTGTGCTTAGGGTTGGTTGGAGGGTATCTCCCAGAGTGCACATCTAAGACGAGAATCAGTGACTGTGAGAAGCTATGTAGAAACGTATTTTGGGATAACTCACGTCATCATCAACAACCCTATAGGCAGCTGATACTGGGCGATCCCACCCAGAGACAATAATTTCGTTGAGCATATAGCAAGTAATGAACATGTTCTCTGACAAAACTTCGCTAGATTCGGTCATGGACCCATTATCGCGGCATATCGATACGTGCTTTCGAATCTCTGTCATGGCAGCTGTACAGAAAGGCAATACGGAGGAAACGCTCGTTGTGATATCCTCAGAAGAAGGAGAATGCATAGCGTAAAGTATCATGAACAGTGAAGCTTGGATTTGTAAGACCATAGACGAATGCCCAACAACATATGGATAATATCTCATAGCTGATGCATAATACTCCTTTGACCGGACGGAGTGCGAGGGGTCTCGTTGTAAGTTACTGCATAGGGATGCGCCAATAGCATATACCATCTGCAGAAAGAAGGCTTTCCATTCATCCTGCCCATCCAGGATTGCCTCAGCATGCCATGATTTCCAAGCTGCTTCATTCAAGAAGGGCCATTCCCGGTGAGTCACGGAGAAATACACATTGGTGTAGAGCTCTCGCAACCAAGGAGAGTCGTCCTCGGTTAAAGGATATGAGGGTGTCAAGTCAATCCATGGAACGTCGAAAGTCGTCTCTGGAAATAAAGAGAATGTGTCGGGGGAGAAAGATGGAGACGTTTGAGATGATCCTTGACTGCTGTGTTGCAAGTCCGACAGAAGTATGAGAGATCCATCATTATCTGCGCCACTATTCTGGTCGGCCATCAGATAGTCCGAGTCATTGCGCTTATGTTCTAGGTCTTCAAAATTCGTCTGGACTCCAGCATCACATGTCTCTGTTGGTTTTGTAATACTGGATTGACGATCCAGCTCGGCCACCCGTTTCTCGAGCTGTCTCAAATACTCTAGTGGGATTGTGATATTATCTCCCGTTTTCCGAGACCGAGCAGGCAAGCATTCAGCACCCTTGCGACGACATTCGCCACATGAAGGTTTCGCATGATCACATTTCCGCTTATGTTGGAAGCAGCGAGCGCATGCTATATCTCTATGCTTCAAGGGGCGCGACATGCAGCAATTGGGCACATATGGGGGAGTGGGAGAGAAATGCGGGGAGACCTGCGATAACGGAGTTGATCCGCGCCGTCCTTATTAACGGGCTATAATAGGAAGGTCTAGGCGATGCTGATAAGACTTGTTTTGATTCTATATACTGCTTTCTGTTAAGCTATATGTGTTAAAATATATGAAGTAAAGAAGAATATTAGCCTCGTCAAGTCGTGGAGATAAAGTCCATGGTCATAACATTCATACCTCAACCAAGCCCTATAAAGAACCTCGAATCAAGAGGTTGACAGCGACGGATCAACTTCTAATCCATCTCTGAGCCTTTGTATCATATCCAATCAACTTAGGATCAACATGTAGACTCTTGAGCATGAATTCCATCGTGAAATCCTAAGCAAACAGGTTAGCATATAGGTTCCACCAAGAACCAGAGTAGTACCATAATACTGACCTCATTCTGACTCTCCTCGCCATTATTCTTGCTCCGATGGTGAGAAGAATCCTCCGTGTCAAGGTCATCAACATCTTCCTCGTTCTCGTCAATGTGCTCCCGCTCACAGCGCTCCTCATCAAACTCCCACCGAGTTGCATCACGCTTCGACTGCTCTTTCCAGGCTACCATTCCCCCCATACGATCAACCCTTTCCTTGGCCCCGATAAACACCTCGTCGGCTGCATCCTGACTGGCGAACCGCCATTTGGTAATGAGAGTTGGAATCTCGATGTATTTTGGGTTATTTTCGAGATTGTGGGCCTGTGTTGCGATTTCGAGTCTGGCTATGAGCACATCAACCTTGGACTGGATCTCCCGTTGTTGCTTTTGCAGTTCTATGATCTCTGGGTCGGAGGTTTGAAATGATTGCGAGTGGAACGGGGAAAAGAGTTGTAGGGTGCGTTTGCGCTTAGGGAGCACTGGAGTTACTCTCGAACTTGATAGATTTGATATTGAGTCGGACTCTACAGGAATGGTAGGAGTCGCTGGGGCTCTTGTCTCATCAACAGACTTGGATGGCGTGTCGTCAGCGTTTGTTGATGCAGGTCTGCGTAGTGGGGACTTGAACGGCTTTGAAAGAGCGGTGGCTGCATTGATGCGACGACGTTTAGTAGTTGGTTTGTCCATGATGTATCGCCAGACTTCGAAAAGTTCGAGATGTGTTCAAAGAGCAAGAGATGTCAAAAGTTGGAGATGTCCGAGTGCGGAGAGATGCGGCCTTATCGATAAGCAATGAAATTGATCTACGCTGGAAATGCATACACACTACCTAGGTACCTACATATCTCAATGACCAACTCCTCCTGCTACCCATTGCCCAAATTCGGGGTCCCCAGGCTGGGGAAATACCCCACGGTCGTTGGGATTTCCATTCCCATTATGGGCATTGGCATTGCCATTGGCGTTCTCATTCTGCCGGTTGCGTTGCTGCTGCTGACGGAAATAAACCAAAATCAATAGCGTAGCAGCCAATCCGACAATGAGAAGACCCTCGAGCATTCCCTCGTCAATGTCCAGGTCCAGATCGTCATAGTAGCCATCCTCGTGGCCTTCAGACTCCAAGCCACGATATTCATCATCCTCTCCTCGTTGTTGTTCGTAAAGATCTTCGTAATAGCCCTCCTCGTCGTTCTCAATAAAAGCCTTGACCCACTCCTTGAAAGTACGACGGGGCTTCGAGTCTGAGGGGGGAACAGAGTAAGTAAGAGACTAGAACGACGCGATTGAGTGCATGGGGTAAGTATGAAAGAAATGCGTACCTTCTTCCTCGCGGATAGGGTTAATATCTCCGTTGGTGATGCGATTCCAATATCCTCGAACTCGGAGTTTGATCAGGCTAAGCTTGACTGGCAGGTAGGCTTCAGGGCTGAGATCGAGAGCCAAGTCATAATACCGCTTGGCCATGTGGAAATCCTGGTCTACTGCGACGCCATTCTCATGCATCCAGCCCAGATTCCAGTAGCCCTGTGCACTGTGATGGGCTTCAGCAGCATTGTGGTAACAGGTCGAAGCCTTTTCGGCATCGACAGGTGTACCCGTGCCAGACAGGTAGTAGTCGCCCATCTTGACCAAGGAGTCGATATTAGCTTGCTTCGAAGAGCGCGTCCAGTAAATCAACGCGAGTCTCGCATTGCGCATCAAGGAGGAGCGAGCCTTCTCGGCCCATGGAAGGATAGAACTGAGCGATAGCACAGAGCGGTGCTCATCAAGCAGATAAGCCACATTTGCCTGTGCATTCTCATAGCCCTGTTCTGCTGCCATCATTGATGGGATGAGAGCGCCCTCCTGGTCACCGGATTCGTAGGCAGCGTTTGCCTCCGCGAAGGCCGAGTGGACGATTTCTGCCTTCTCGGCAACCATTTTGTAGTAGGCGGCGGCCACGCCACAGTGCCGCTGTCTACCAATACCGAAGTTGGCCATCTCCGCTAGGTAGTAGTATGCTTCCATCCACCCCCAGCGGGCTGCAAGCTCGAAGTAACGTGTTGCGCTAGCCACATCTCCTTGATCCAAAAACAGAGCACCCAATCGAGATTCTGAAGCTGGGAAATCCTGCTCTGCCGCTGCTTTGAAGTAGTGAGATGCCTTGAAGCCATCCTGTGGAACCCCATAGCCCTTCAGGTACATCAAACCCATCCAATGCTGGCATAGAGAGTCGCCATTCGCAATGCCCCGCCGGAACCATGTGAGGGCAGTCGGGTAGTGTTGCTCCACCCCCCCCCCGCGGAGGTACATCAGACCAATATGTCCCGCAGCCTTGGAGGCCAGTTTATCAAGCCCTGCGGGCGGGTTTGAGTTGACGGACCCATCCTTGTTCCAATATTTCTTAGTAACAACCTTGAAATACCTCATGGCCCGTCGGAAATTGCGCGGCAGGCCCCGGGCGCCCTCGTAATTCATCTTACCGAGAGTGTACGTAGCTTTCAGTTCACCCTTCCGGGACATGAGGTCCAAGTACTCCAGGATATCTTCCACGCTGGCCTCGGGAGTGGCATTAGCAGAGTCCCGCGCATTTTGACCAGAGCTCGACACACTGGCTCCTGGGCCGTAGACACCACCTTCTTCATCTGCCCAACGATAAGATTCTCGAATCAAAGCCCTGCCACCCGGAGGCCCTGAGCGGTAGTACTCGACCGCCTTATCGGCAACCTTCTTGTAGTAATGAATCGCGTGGTCACAATTCTTCGGTGTTCCAATGCCAGTGTGGTAGCGATACGCAAGGGTCATCTCCGAGCGGATGTTACCGGCTTCCGCTGCAAATTCATGGTACATCAGGGCCTTTGCCTGGTCGGGTTCGACCGCACCGCCGATCCCCGTCGCATACATGAACCCGACCATGTTCTGCGCTGTGTTGTTTCCGTCTAACCAAGCCAGTTCATGGTACCAGCGGAAGGCCTCTTTGAGGTCGCGAGGATAGGAGAAGTTGCCATAAAAATTCATCTCTGCTAACAAGAACATCGCATCCGGATCTCGGTCTTCGTCTGCTGCTACTCTCAGCTCCCCCACTGCCGCTGCGATATGTTTATTCAGTTTGCGCTCGGGCTTTTCAGTGGAGGGGCCATTCAAGAATAGCAGTCGGACCGTTTGGCGGCCATAGTATACAGCAGTTCCCAGTAACCCTCTCGACTTGTCGGATTGAAGGACTGTGTTCTTTGTTGTGCGAAGTGTGTCCCAGGCGTTCTCAACTCGTTCTATTCACAAACGATAGAGTTAGTCCGTATCAAGCGTCAGCCGATAGACCGCGAGCTGTCTCTACTTACGAGTCATGGGTCGGGGCTCTGGTTCCCCTGTCTGGAACGTAGATTCACGATTTGCATCGTTGCCGATTGCTTCGGAGGTCTGATCAGTAGTTGGTTGACCAGGCCCAGCTGCACATGTCTGGAGTAGCACTGAAAATAGGAGTCAGCTTGGGTTGTAGTCCTGCAGGTGCGGGCAAATCTTACGCAGGGCCGAAAGAAAAAGTGAGAGCGGCGTCCTCATAATGCCTCCAATATACTAATGTAATGTCGGAGAGTGAAGCACATTGCGACTCTCAAAACAATGTGAATCACAAAAGCGACGGAGCTGGATCGTGATATGATGTCGTTGCCCAGAGTACGGGCCACTTGGCTTGACGGAGCTTCATTTTACCGAGGGCCAATCACTTGTAGATACCGATGTACCTGCGAACGATATACCCATGCTTCCAATATCTGTTGAACATCTGCTGGGCATATTTTCTATATTTATTGGTGCATAATGTTCTAAGACCTTTGTTGTCTGTCTCTATCTACGTGTGCGTCAATTCGTACTTAAAACTTGGACAGGCATCTGGACCGCTTTGAAAGAAATACTACATCCTAGGAATCTACATAGAGGCATTCTTGTCTTCTTGACAAGTAATAGAAGGAGTTGGAAATATCATAAACATTGTTGGAATCTACTCGTCCCCTCAAGAGGGTGTGTACAACACAGAAAGCAGCAGTCAAAATACATCCCCAGTGCGCTTTCCATGCAATAAAAAGGATGTGGGCACAAATTCCCCAATGACAACCAAACTCCGCACTCTTGTCACAATATCCTTGGAGTATATCCTCGGGTCTGATCGAAGCATGTGCGGGCTGTGCACAATAGGGGAATAGTATGTCAGGAAAAAGCAAAGCAATCTCAGAACGATGGCGGCTGAAACCAAACGGGGACACGCGTTGGTTAATTGGTTTAAAAAAAAAAGACTAAACAGATACAATGAATGGGAGGCAATCCCCGATATCGTGAAAAAAAATTATCAATCATTTCCGAGATGTGTAGCGCGAAAAGATCTTTTTTGTTTAGTGGTTGGAGTTCAATTCGATGATGGTACAGGTGTGGAGCACGATCCTGAGATAGACCAGCCATCTTCGCACGATATTCACTGGCGCGGCGACGTAGGGCTATATGCCGGAGATGTCGGGCTATATGCCGGAGAGGTAGGCGACGTCGGAGAACCAGAGAAATTGGGAGAAGTCGGCGAGTAAGACTGGGGACTCGTAGGAGACCAACCAGGTGAAGTTGGTGTGTACTTGGGAGAGGTGGGAGATGTTGGAGACAGGTGCCGAGCACCGCCAATCGCAGGACTGGTGGGACTGTAGCTCGGCGAAGTCGGACTGAAGGCCGGCGAGGCCGGACTAAAGCTGGGGGATGTCGGGCTGTAGTTAGGCGACGTTGGGGAGAACCCAGGCGAAGTCGGGGAATATGAAGGGGAGGTAGGTGACGCTTGGCCGTACGCAGGCGAGGTTGGCGAATAAGCCGGAGACGTCGGTTGGAACGATGGGCTGGCAGGCGAGAATCCAGGAGAGGTCATCATTCGCGGGCTTGTCATGCCAATGCCAGGAGATGTCGGTGAATAGCTCGAAGACGGAGAGTATCCAGGAGACGTTGGGCTAGTATTGAAGGGACTTGTTGGAGAGTATCCACCGGGGCTGCGAGGCGCAGGACTGAACCCACCAAAGGTATTCGAGCCAGCCTGGTAATCGGTGAAACCTCCAGTAGGCTCCTGGCTAATCTGGTGCATGGGTGAGAACGTCGCATCAGGGTCGCTACCAGCCATGGAGGGGGAGCTGGCCATAGGAGAACCGGTGTCGTACTGAGTAGCAGCACCATCCGAAATAATGGCATCCTTTGCACCGACTGCGCCCATCAGACCGTAGCGTGCATTATTGGATACGACAGTGTTGAGCAAGCTCTGGTCCAGGTAGACGTCGAACTCACCCGTTCCGGCAGGCGCCATCTGTCCAAGGATCAAGTTCTCCGACACACCGCGGCAATCGTCAAGCTCTCCGAACGCAGCAGCCTCGAGCAAGATTTCAACTGTCTCTTCGAACGAACAACGCATGAGGGCGCCATTGTCGGCACGGTTGATACCATGACGAGTAACAGGAGTCAGATAACCACGAACAGTCATAACATCGACCAGCAGAGCCAAGTGGCGGTGATTAACGTAAGAACCATCAAATGCGAGCACCAGGGTTAATTCGCGAAGCACAGCTGTACGGGCAGCCTCAATACCGAAGACCTCGAAAATCTCAATAAACTGGTTAGAGTAGGTGCGCGAGGCATCGACGCCCGGAATTGAAAGAACAGCAGCCAGAGAAGATCCACTTGTTTCCAGAACC